GCTGCCTGCCTCTTATAGGAATGGTCCATTAATGAGCCTTGACAGCTTAACTGTCTCGGATCTTGCAGTAGCCACCCCATCGGAAAGGTGTGGACATCTTGCGGCTAATGTGAGTAAAGATTGCAGAGCCACAGACACCACACTCCCAGACTTGAAACATCGGGAAAAGTTGGGAATAAGAGTGCTGAAAGCAAAAGTCCCAGCTGAATTTGAAAGGGGAAAAAGCTTTTCCTACTACTGCACCAGCCAAGATAACCTGAGTGCTAGAACTGCTTAGAGAGTGCAGCTCCATGCTTCAAGAAGAGACACCATCTGTTGGCGGTCTGGGTCTGTGCGGCTCACCCACAAAGGGGCACTCCGGTCAGTGCAAAAGACAATCGGGCAACTGCAGCCTATCCAATGTTTCTGGGCTGAAACGACACTGCCCTCTTCATCAAGAGCATTGGCGTGCACGGGGACGTGTTTTGGAAAAGGCAGCCATACTACGGAAAGCATACAATGTTGCACCAACATGAGTAAAAATTCAAGATGGGGGAAAGGATTCCAAGATCTAAATTTTTTAAATAGAATTCGATTTTAACATGTTCCAAATTGTAATATAGTACATTCTGTGGGACGTGGTTGTCCGTGAATGTTCCCTTAGAACCACCTTCAACCCTCGCTTTGTTTGTGTCCGTTTGGTTTGAATGAATGATTGACATGTTTCCAATTTTTATGACACTATTATGTACTCCTAGTATTGTACACTTTCTAGTACTCTCATCACACTGCAGAAGTGTACAGTATCCTGTACGATCTTTTGGTCCAAACACAACATTCATGCTTTGTTTCACTTTACTCATACAGATTAGCACTAGAAAACAGATTTTACCATTTAAGTGGAGGCCCAACTGGCCCACACTAGCTCATTCCATTACGTAGTATCTTGGGTAAAAACTATTCAGGTGTGAAAAAAAACACAAAAATTTGGCAACTGCAGATTTGTGTAAGCTGTGTCAAATTCTCTACCTATGAAGACACCACCTGAAGTGCACCAGACGTGTTGATTATTCAGAGTTTCCTCACCTACCTATTTTTTTCCATAAATCATCAGAACTTTCTGTGGTGCCTCAGTGAAACATATGGGGTACACGTACATAGCATTGCAATTTCTTTAGCGATGCAATGACAAATTTTTTTTAATTTCGAGGTTTATTTTATACTAGGAAGTTTAACCAAATGAGAAACATAATGAACAACCATGCACTTGCATACAAGTACCAAACACAGTACTGTACAAACTTGATACACCTCCATATTTTGTGTAAATAAAAATTTGTTTCACGTGGAACACTGTTCACTGCAAAAAAACCTGTCAATAAGTGCAGTTCAAGCGTGCCTAACGACACCTTCCGTAGTTAAACTGGACTTTCCCTTTAGCGCAGCTCGTCCTCTCTTAAAACAACATAGTCATGCCCTACAATGACCGATAGCCCATAAGTGCAATAACGACAGATATCTTTGCAATTTCAAGATATGTTTATGTAACGTAGAAACTTGAGATATTGAAATAAAGAATAACTAACCAATACTTCGTCTCATCCTAACATCAACTAGCCTGTGAGGTTACAAGCGCGAGCTCCTTGCATTGAATCATACTACCTCGGCTGCACGAGCGCACGTTCACCGGGAGTACCACAGCTACTCGTTCACGATTGTAGGCTTTGCAGTTAGTCCATCTCAGGATGAAAAGAAGTGTAGAAGAAAGTACATTCAAGTCGACACACTTGCGAGAGCAGCTGCTTAACCACACAACACAGATATAATAAATAATGTACAATGACACAAATCTCAATTGACTCCTGAGTGCAATGTGTTGCCTCTGCTACACTGTACTTGTACCACTTGTACACCAAGAGGGGCGGTTACTGTGCAGCGCCAAAGAAAATGTGTTTCTGGAGCAATTTCTTGATTTTGTATGCGTCAACAAATATATACATTGTTAATGACTTCAATATAGACCTGTCCACTGTATCTGCTTCGCAAACTCTATTTACCTCTATTCTCGAATCAAATGGTTTTAACAATTTAATCGAATGTCTAACATTTGACCTCTTCATAACAAATAATGATAATGAACATGGGTATTCTGGCGTAATACTCAGTGATGTCAGCGACCCTTTCACCATTTTTTTTTTCATTTATTAGAAAATTTCGCAGTAAAACATCAATACCACTACAGGAACCAATATTTGCTCAACAAATGAATGCCCAAAGATTGGACGTTTTTTAATGCCATAGGTAATACTGACTGGAGCTTAGTATACATAAAGAAACAGCAGATGAAGCTCATAACATTTTCTTGTCTTCTTTAACTAGGATTCATGAAAATTGTTTTTCATATAACAAATAGAGAAAAGCAAAAAGTCGAGAACGCCATGGGTCACACCTGAACCAGTTCGTAAAATAAACATACCGTAAAAAAATCTTTTTAAAAAATTTATTAAAAACAGGGATCCAAGTCAATTATGTGATTATAAATCTTTCCGTAACAAACTGAATTCCGTACTGAAACATGCTAAATTGAATTACTACAGTTGAACCTCGATGTAACGAAGTCGGTAAAATTCGCAATTTACTTCGTTACATTGAAATTTCGCTAAATCGAAATTTGGCTTTAGCATGCAAAAAAGAATTCCGAAACATTTTACGGGTATGAAAACTCACCGAAAATGACATTTATTTAGGGGCGAAGTAGTCCGCGAGTTTTGCTTGCGCCTTGTCCGACAGTAGCAGCGGCGTCATACGGCGTTCGAGCGCCCAGAGCGCTTGCACGGCATCCTGCTGCCCATGCGACGCCGTGTACCTCCTCAGTACGTCCATTGCGTCGAGCACTTCCCGAGTGCTCGTGATCTCGGCAGTTTCTTCAGGATGGCGTCCAAAACGTTTGCTTTCTCATCCAAAGAAAGAACTTTACGTTTCCTTATGGCAGCAAGCACGTAAGTGAACCGCCCGGTTAAAAAATAAAGCTGTTTAGTTTAGGCAGTTTAGGCGGTGCCAATGTTTCCAACATACACAGCACTCTTCACCGCACAGTTTACTTGCCCCCTTGCCACCCTTGCCCCCACAGTGATGCTTGCGCCGCTTGCGCCCACGCTCGCAAGACGATAATCGGTCTTTTCGGTCTTCTCCTAGATGGCAGTGCCCGTGCGGTCGCGCCATCACGTCGCTCCCCCGCTGAAGTTGGCTCCCGCGCTACCCGCGGTGCAGTGGAGTGGACTATGGTTATCAGTGAATGTCAGTGGTGATGCTGGTATGCCGTGTTAACTTTTTGCTCGGCATTTTCTGGCCAGCCTCGCGGAATCCGCTTTGCCGCATGCCTCGCCGGCGCTACCGGCGCCGCATCCTCGGGCAGCCTAGGAACGTTGGAAGGCCTGTCCCCGTGAAGTAACCTATCAAGCGCTCGCGTTTGCGCATAATTTTTTTTTTTTAACCACAATTTTTTTGCGAAGTTGTTTTTTAGAGTTGATTTATTTATTGCCTTCTATGGCAATGGCACTTCGTTATAGACTTAGACTTCGTTATATAGAGACTAAAAATACATGGGGTCTATGGGCAAGAAATTATGAAAAATAAAATACTTCGTTAAATCGAAGATTTCGTTACATTGAAGTTCGTTATATCGAGGTTCGACTGTATAACAATCTGTTCAATAATACCGTAAGACAAAAGGGAGATATTTTATGGAAACTCAAATTTTATAAAACCAGTTGAAAAATGTTCTCGTTATAATGTTGAACTAGATGGAAGCAAACTGCCCGACTTACAGGTTGCTACCACTTTTAATGATTACTTCGTAAATTTGGTACAACCAGCAAATTATAGCATAGATCCGTCGGTAACATCGCGATATGTTCCTAATGAATCTACGTTTTTTCCTACTACAATAAGTGAAGTGATTAGCATGTTCCTAAATCTTAAAAACTGCTGATCCCAGAACATAAGTGGATTGCAAATTAAACCCATCAAATATGCCATTGATATATTTGCTCCTCCTGTCACGTACATTTTTAACCTCGTTTTAACAACCAGTGTTTTTCCAAAAGTGCAAAAGGCAGAAGTAACGGAGCTGCACAAAGGTGGTGACAAAAACAACCTCACTAACTATAGGTCGATATCAATTTTACCGATACTGTCTAAGGGTCTTGAGAAAATAATTCATTCAAGACTAACCAACTTGCTTAGCCCTTAAAAGCCCAAAGGGAATATGCTTCCCACTTCGAAAAAGGCGCCATAAACAACTGATGCAAATTTTTTATTTTTTCTGTATTGTGGCGCCATCTAGCCACATGCCTAACAAACTACACAAAATTATTTTGAAGGTTTTCGGTGCATCCACTAGGCGGCGAGAATGGTTTTTTCCCGGCAAGGTGGCATGGCTTCGGCTCTTTGTGCTCGTACAATTTGCCGAAGAAACTTTAGCCTGAGGACGGCAAAAAACAACTTCTAAAGGTGCATATATTTAATTAATGTCTCTACGGCATCTCGTGCATCGATTTTAACCACTTATAAGCATGTTCATTGCGTTCATTAGATGCTGTAATGGTTTTTCCCGACCATAGGTGGTGGGAATATATTTCCCTATGGGCCTTTAGCAGAACATTATACCTGCGCTTGTTTCTCCACAGATGTCGAAGTTCTTGTCAGTGGACAAGGCACTGGATGTCTTTTTCTCCCTGCCTGATGACCCAAACCAGTCAAGTGACAGCGAGGAAGTAGAAGACGGCGACGATGTTCCGTCGGGTGCGGTAACCCGTTCGGAAGTCCAGCCGAGTAGCACAGCGTCACAAGGAGCAGCACAGGTGAGTGCGTATGATGTGCACTCAAGCGATGACGCCAGTGATGATGAAGAGACTGCAAGTGAGTGGACAATACGTTCGCTTCCCCACCGAAGCAACATTCCCGATTATTGCTGCCAAACACCTGCAACTCCTAAGCTTCTTCCAACGCACACGCCAATAATGATCTTTGATGCCCTGTTCGGAGGTGCTTTGACCATACTCGTTGAGCAAACGAACATATACGCCAAAGAAACCAAAAAGAAAGCTTGGCAGGATACCGCAGCTGAAGAAATGAAAGGATTCCTAGATATTCTCATCAGAATGGGCATTCTTCAACTTCAAAACAGACGGGACTACTGGTCCACGGACAGCGACCTCGGAGTGGCATCAGTTAGCCCAGTGATGCCAAGAGCACGACTTTTTCAGCTTCTTCGATCACTGCATGCCAACGACAACAAGACAGCGACTAGAAAAGGAGACGTCGGCCATGTCCCTTTGCACAAACTTCGACCTCTTATCACAGAGCTCTCCGAAACATTCAGAGCTAGCTACCAGCCATCTGCATACCACTCAATTGATGAGAGTATGATTCTGTTCAAAGGAAGGAAGTCATTCAAACAGTATATGCCCATGAAGCCTATCAAATGTGGGTTCAAAGTATGGGTGCTTGCTGATGCTACAACTGGCTTTATTAACCAGTTCGAAGTCTACACGGGCAAAGAGGGCGATGGCGGTGGGCTCGGCTACAGGGTAATCCAGAAATTCACTGAGGAACTTGTCGGGACGGAGTGTCTGGTAGTGTTCGACAACTTTTTTAGTTCACCCGAACTCATGCAGGACCTGTTTGACCACGGGATATATGCCGTGGGAACTGTCCGTGCACAAAGAAAAGGTCTTCCTGATGTTGTGAAGAACAAAAAGAAAATCAATGAAGGCGACCACAACTACAAGGTGAAGGGAAATGTTGCTGCGATCCAGTGGCAAGACAAGCGGCTAGCCAACGTAGTAACAACAGACCACGATCCTTCAGAGACGGTAACAGTGGAAAAGAAAAATAAGGACGGGTCAAAGAGAAGCATCAAGTGTCCACTAGCGATTGTGCAGTACACGAAGCACATGCGGGGAGTAGACCGCTTTGATCAGCTGCGAGAGTATCACACCGTTACTCGTAAGTCAAGAATATGGTGGATGCGAATCTTCTACTTTCTTCTGGACTGTGCTCTTGTGAATAACTTCATCCTTTACCAGCTGTCAGAGGGGGAGGCGAACCACCAGAGTTTTCTCCTAATACTTGCACGCCAGTTGGCCAACGGCTATAATGGAAGGAAAAGGTCAGCCACGACCGCTTTTCGACGCGTCTTGCAGCAAGCAAGTACCAACAAAAACCTTGGCGTGCCAGATGAGGTGCACCTGTCCAACGGGCCACATTACCCACAGGGCAAAGCAGCCTACAAGAGGTGTAGGTACTGCTCCACGGCCAAAAATGACAAAAGATCAAAGATCACATGCACAACTTGCAAAGTACACCTTTGTGTGGTGCCCTGTTTTGCCAAGTGTCACCAAGAGTATGTGTGGCACTGAAGGCCCAGAGGGAAGAATATTCCCATGCCCTAATTAATGGCTTTCAATTAGTATTTTCATACCTTTTATTATTTGTGCTTGTGCAGCAATAAACATTATTTCTAGCGAGTTTCATGTTCCTATCACTGATAGAAACATTATGGGCTTTTAAGAGTTAACAAACATAATATTCTAACTCACAATTTGGTTTTCGTAAACACAGGTCGACAGAAACCACACTATTAACACAAAAAGAATGAATTGTTGAAGCATTTAAGAGGAAAGAACTCATACCTGGAATATTTATTGACCTTAATAAGGTGTTTGACAACATAAATCATGATATACTAAACCTTAAGCTTCACGCTTATGGTATTAGAGGAAGCGCAGCATTATTAATTCAATCTTATTTATAGCCTCGGTCTCAATCTGTTTGTATAAACTTTTCTTTTTCTCCACTTGACACTATTACAACAGGTGTGACCCAGGGCAGCACATTAGGCCCTCTTCTCTTCATGCTTTACATTGACATTATCAACATAATGACATCAGCAAAAATAATAGCCTATGCCGATGATATGACTTCTTTTTACTGGTACTGACCAGACTGATATAGCTTCAGAAGCAAATAGCTCTTTTAGAAATTTGCAAAGATACATCATTGCAAATTGTCTGCAAATAAACCCTTATAAAACTAGAGCGATTTTCTATAGACCCAGAAACAAATTACCTTGTAGGCCAACATATCTTCATTTAGACAACCAGAAAATAGAAGTTGTAAGTGAAATGAAATCCTTGGGTGTTCATTTTACAGAACACCTCACATGGGACTATCATACCATTAATCACATCCGTACAAAGCCGAATGGCTGGTAAATAAATGGGCTGGTAAATAATGCCGAATGCCGAACAAAGCCGAATGGCTGGTAAAAAATGGGCTGGTAAATAAACATAGATACAGCCTACCATGCAATATTAAGAAAATGTTATACAATGGCTCATTTTGTTCCTCACCTAACATACTCTAATCTCCATATGAGGTACAACTAATAAACATAACACACATATCCTCCTTCGTGCACAGAAAAAGTCAATTAGAATAATAGCGAATCTCGCATAGAATGAGAGCACTGCTAATTATTTGCAGCAGTTAAACATCCTAAATATATCTTTCCTTTACAAACTAAGACTCACGTGCCTTTACAGATCTGCCCTACTCGCAAATAACACCTTCATAATTGAATTTTTTAATCTAAACAAGCATCTCACAAGCCATAATACACGACATGCAGAACCATGGTTTGTGCCGACATCTCAAACAACATATGGACATGAATCAAAAAGGCACTATCTAGCTTACTTACTAAACAAATTGATTCAATATCACGTCATACTTGAGGTTGTCACCAAGCCCCACGTGATATCCCTGTTTATGACGCTCACTGACACTCACTAACAAAATCTCACGTCTTTTGTTGACTACTGCTCCAATTTTATTGTATGTGTGTAGTTTTGTATTTGTTATTTCATTTGATTTGTAAATGAGTGATTAGGAAACATTGTCATCACTGCTCTCTCTGCCGTTTCAATCGGGGCAGGGACCTCGTCAAGTAGCTGAATGCAGCTTTTTGTCCTTGCCCCTCCGCTCCCTGGAGAGGAAATAAAAAGTATTATATATTTTTTCAATACTCTTATGTGCATGTGTTTATTTTTAGGTTTAGAGTGGCTATGCTATGCTATGCTTGACTTTTTAACTGCAGGGTGGCATCACACAAGCACCTTATTTGATTTGATGTGCCCGTTTTCTTAAAGAGAGCCGATGTCTGTGGTAATGAATTTATTAGTAGTTGTTGCGGCCGGAAGCGGGAACCCTGGCCAGAGCCGCCAGCCTTCTTCCGGCAAAGCAACAACAATCGTCGAGCGCAACGCCATCACGCCGACTAGGGTCGGACGTCAGTAACCTGTACTCTAACAATGTATTCACGTTTCTCGTCACCTATAAAGAACCCGAGTTACAAAACGTTGTGTTTCCTGACGCGCTAACAATGACGACGAGGATGGGATAAGGAGAGGACAACCGAACGCCAGTACATGAACGTTAAGTGGTGTTAGTCGGTGTGACGGTGGGGCCCGGGAACAAAGGAGAAGCGGTGGCCGCCATGGCGCAAGCTCAAGCCCTCTACGCCGCGCCGATCCAGTATGACCCGGCGGTGGAGAATCGGACAAACTACGTGGAGCGACTGGAGGCATACTTCGACGCCAGCAGGGTGAGGGACGACGGTAGGAAACGTTCGATCCTAATATCCGCTTTTAGCCCGGAAGTTATGCATGACTGCGAAGCTTGGTGGCGCCAAACAAACCGCGAGACGAAACCTTCGACACGATCATGAAAGCGCTTACGCAGCACCTCAGTCCGGAACCGTCCGAGATCTATGAGACGTTCAGGTTCCAGTCACTAAAGCAAAATGAGGGGGAAAGCGTCGCGGACTACCTGGCCGAATTACGGAGAATCGCAGACCACTGCGGTTTTGGGGACGCTCTAGACAACAACCTAAGGGACCGATTTGTCATCGGACGGTGCGAGAAGACGGTGCAGAGGATCCTCCTGGTGAAACCAAAGAAACTTACGCTCAAAGAGGCGCTGGACACAGTGTGGGCGGCGGAGTTAGCAATGCGGAACGCCGACCGGCTTCCTGGCTCAAGTTCGCTACCCACTACTGCGGGGGACGTGAATGCCTTGCGGTTTAAGAAGCACAAGGGACGTCAGCAGGAAACGTCTCGGACGAAGACTGCGCAGCCCTGCATTCGTTGCGGAGACAGCTCTCATGACCAGCCAAACTGTCCACACAAGAAAACGACGTGCTTCACGTGTAACAAGCAGGGAGATTTGGCGAGCCGGTGCTTTCGCACTCAGTCGACACCGGCGGTCAACCGAAAGAAGCAGCAGGCCAACCTGCTCACGGAAGAAGCACAGCTAGGACAGGCAGAGGAGGCTTTCCACTTGTTCACAGTGCACACTCCAAAAGCTACGGTTGATTCAGTCAACGAAGTGCTCCAGTGGGGAACAGTAGAAGTGACCATGCAGGTTGACACTGGCTCCCCCGTGTGCATGATTTCTAGGGACACATACTCCAAGAATGATAAGGTCTGGCCACCCCTACAGGAAACTACCAAGGAGCTCCACTGCTACCTGGGGAAACTACCAGTGCTGGGAGTCCTGGCGATGCCAGTAAGGCATGGAAACAAACAAGTGCAAGGACAACTGTACATTGTGGATTGTACGGGTCTATCCTTCTGTGGTCGAGACGTCATCTAAGCATTGAGCCTCCTGGAAGAGCATCTAATTGGGAGCATGCAAACAAGTGACAACCAAGTGCAGGACACGGTCAAGAAGCTGAAAGAAGACTTCAAGGATCTCTTCTAGCCGGGGACGGGGTTGATGAAGGGACCTGTGGCCTACGTCAACTTAAAGAAAGAGGTAAACCCCAAGTTCTGCAAGGCCTGGTCTCTTCCCTATGCCCTACGTGACAGGGTAGGAGAAGAACTGGCCTGAATGTGCAAAGAGGGGATATTGCCTCTGGTATTCCACAGTGAGTGGGCAACGCCAGTAGTGCCAGCGACCAAGGCCAATGGAGGTCTCAGGATCTGTGGGGACTTTAAAGTAACCCTGAACATGGCATGCGACATCGAACAATACCCACTTCCCAAAGTGGAGGACATCTTTGCACCTCTGAAGGATGGCCATTGGTTCTCGAAATTGGATCTTCGGGAAGCCTACTGCCACGTGGCCTTAGATGAAAAATCCAGACAGGCAGCAGTGCTCAACACCCACAAGGGTCTCTTCTGCTACAACCGGCTGCCATACAGCATCGCTTCAGCACCAGCGATCTTCCAAAGGAAAATGGAGGCGTTGTTGAAGGACATTCTGGGAACGCAGGTTTTTTTTGGATGATGTCTTGGTGGCAGAAGGCAAAGACGAATTTGGGCAGACGCTGCGGAAGGTTCTGCAGAGATTCAGGAAAAATGGCATCCGACTGCGGGAAGAAAAATGTGTGTTTGGTGAAGGTTACCTACCTCGGACATAGGATCGACCGACGTGGGCTGCATCCATCAGAAAAGAAAGTGGACGCCATCGTGAAGGCTCCTGCACCTCGCAACCTCCAAGAAATTCGGTCCTTTTTAGGACTCATCACATACTAAAGGAGTTTCCTGCCTAGGATGTCTACACTTCTGGCTCCGCTCCACAACCTGCTGAGGAGTGAGGTGAAATGGAAATGGGGAACAGAAGAACAGGCTGCATTCGACGGGGCGAAAACAACCTTGCAGAAGTCCAACCTTCTTGTGCACTATGACCCAAGTAGGGAACTCATTTTGGAGTGTGATGAGTCACCAGAAGGCCTAGGAGCAGTGCTGTCTCCCTGCGTGAATGGCATCGACAGGCCTATCGCCTTCCAGTCAGGATCCCTTACCAAGGCTGAGAAGAACCATTAGCAGCTGGAGAAGGAAGCGCTTGCGCTCATTTTTGGGGTAACGAAGTTTAGGGATTACCTTCTCTGCAGGAGCTTCACCCTAAAGACAGACGACAGACCACCAACCTTTGGTGGGATTGTTCAAAGAAAGCAAATCGATTCCAAGCATGGCTGCGGCACGCATCTAGAGGTGGGCACTAACGCTTGGAGCGTGTAAGTATGTGATCAAGTACAAGCCTGGGTCACAAAACCTGAACGCAGACACTCGGTCGTCTGCCGATGGCAACTGCCCCAGATGGAGCAGAAACCGAAGAAGCCCAAGATATGGGGGTCTTCACAGCGGACATGTTGGACGCCAGCCCAGTGTCCAGACGACAGCTAGAAGACCTGACGGGGAAGGACCCAATTATGCAGAGCCTACAAGACACGATCAGCAGAAGTTGACCAAAAAGACTTTTGGACAGTTGCCTTCAGCCATACTGGCATCATCGTAATGCACTCACGCTGGAAGGGGCCCTCATCTGCATGGGTGGAAGAGTGGTGATTCCAGAATGTGCACGGAGGGCATTTCTATTGGAGCTTCATGATACTCACAAGGGAGTCAATGCAACTAAGGCACTGGCACGCACGCTGGTGTGGTGGCCAGGCATTGACCGTGAGGTGGAAGAGTTGCTTCACCGGTGCACAGTGTGCCAACGGGCGGCTCCCATGCCACCGAGTAGGGAGCCACTGGCATGGCCAGCAACTAAACAGCCGAGGTCAGGCTGTTTGTGCAAGGAACTTTGGTAATGGACCTCGCTGGCTGAGTGGAACCATCACGTAAGAACTTGGAAACCGCATGGCGCTGGTGCAAACACCTGGTGGGATGATCCGCAGACATCATGACCAGCTACGCCTGAGGCTTGAGGTCAACACACCTGACCCTCTGCATCAACCCAGTGAGCGCAATGAGGATTTAACGTTAGAATGGGGCCAATCCTCAGTGGCTCCAGAGACTTCAAGGGCCACCGTGGAGCCAAGCAAGGAGCAGCGTCCAGTGCAACAACACCGACCACCCGAGCGGCTGGACTTGTAGTTCCACCATTCCACCAAGTGTGGGGGAAGTGTTGCGGCCGGAAGCGGCAACACTGGCCAGAGCCGCCAGCCTTCTTCCGGCAAAGCAACAACTGTTGTCGAGCGCGACGCCATCACGCCGACTAGGGTCGAACGTCTGTAACCTGTGCCCTAACAATGTATTCACGTTTCTCGTCTCTTATAAAAAACCCGACTTACAAAGCGCTGTATTTCCTGACGCGCTAACAGTAGTAGTAATCTTATTATCAGTAATAGTAGTAGTATTATTGCTCCCAGCAAGGACAGATGCTGTTATTATTATTATTATTATTATTATTATTATTATTATTAATAATAATAATAAATATTGGGTTTTTTGATGAGGAGCTATTATACGAGTGTGTAAAGAAGATGAAGCCGTCTTTGTCTTCTGGCCATGACGGCATTCCGTCTGTCCTATTGAAGGCCTATAGTGCAATATTTATCCCCATTTTGGTACATATCTTTAACAACTGCGTAAAAACCGAAGTGTTTCCCGTCTTGTGGAAAACAGCACTTGTTGTACCCGTACATAAGTCCGGTTCAAGAACAAGCGTCTCAAACTACAGGCCTATATCTCTTCTTTGTACATTTTCAAAACTGTTCGAAACAGCTTTACACAAAATATTGTCGTTTAAGCTCAAACATTCTCTCATCCCTAGCCAACATAGTTTTAT